AAAAAAAAAAAAAAAAAAAAAAAGGACTAGGGATGTGGCTCAGTGGTTAAGTGCCCCTGGGTTCAATCCTTGAAATCAAAAAACAAAAAATAATAATAATAATAATAATAATAAAAAGGACTGGTGACATAGCTCAGTGGTAAAGTACCATGGGTTCAATCCCCAGTGCCACCAAAAAGAAAAAAAGAAACCTCAGAGGCCATGGCCCAATAAAACATTCTACTAATGGTGGTGCTGATATACAGTCAGACCAATTCTCAGGCAGTCAATCAATGTAGACCCTAGAAACAAGGGCATTTCTTATGTATACAGCACCAAATTAGTCATTCTGGAGTAGAGGACACAAGGACAAACACCTATATGGGCCAGAAAGGCTGAGTAAATGAATAAATAAATAAAGCAGACCAAGTGAGAATCGAGCAATCCTCCTTCCTTCCTCTTTCTTTCTCACTTTTTTTTTTTTTTTTTAAAAAGGGCAGGTTTATTATAAGGCAAGGGCAAGGCAAGAGCAAGAAAAACATACCTTGGAGATAAAGAGGGATGGACAGATTGCTTAGGGGTCAAATATTTCTAAAGAACCATGCTCTCTCCCACTATTCTTTCATTCATTCATTCATTCATTCATTCATTCATTCATTCATTCATTCATTCATTTATTTATTGGATGAGCGTCTCACTCAGCTGGTCTCAAATTCATGCATTCAAATGATCCTCTTGCCTTAGCCTTCTGAGTAGCTGGTACTACCAGGCATACACCATCACATTTCATTATTCCTGAAACATATATAGCTCTCTCCTGTAGATGCTACAGGTTATTCAAAATTTATTCTCCTCTAGCAGGAGGTGATAGTGAATGCCTATAAGCCCAGCAGCGTGGGAGGCTGAGGCAGGAGGATTGCAAGTTCAAAACCAGCCTCAGCAATTTAGCAAGGCCCTAAGCAACTTAGCAAGACCATGTCTCAAATAAAAAATAAAGGATCTGGGATTGTGGCTCAGTGGCAGAGTACTTGTCTAGCACGTGTGAGGCACTGGGTTTGATACTTAGCACCACATATAAATAAATAAAAAATAAAGGTACATTAACAACTAAAAAGGCGGGGGRGCCGGGGATGTCACTCAGTGGTAGGCACCCCAGGTACAATCCCCAGTACAAAAATAAAAAAATTTTAAAAACCTCCTCTTATTCCTTTGTAGTGGAACCCCAATTTTATTGGTAGGAGGCACAGTGCCCCAAATAGTATATTTCTTGCCTTCTTTTACAACTAAGTATGAATAAATGACTGTTTGGTTAATGTACTATAGACAGAAGTACTGTGTAGGACTTCTAGGAAGTTGTGTTTTAAAAGCTGACACATTAGATGAGAAGAGTCTCTCTTGTCTAATCCTTTCTTCTTGCCTCAAAGTTGAATGAGCTTGCTTGAGTTCTATAGCCAACCTGAACCATAATGGTAATCCTGAGGATGATGCCAATAGGAAAATATTTTGAAAAATGAAAAATGGGGCTCAAGTCCCTGATGATTTTTTTAGCCTTCATATTAGCCCTGAATTTCCTGTATAGAAAACTTAGTGTATAACCTTCTATCACTAAAAGATCACAAAAATTTCTTCTTCTATTTTTTTTGTGTGTAATTTGTGTGTGTGTGTGTGTGTGTGTGTGTGTGTGTGTGTGTGTGTACCAGAGATTGAACTTAGGGGTACTTGATCAATGAGCCATCCCCAGTCCTATTTTGTATTTTATTTAGGGACAGGGTCTCACTGAGTTGCTTAGCACCTCACTATTGCAGGCTTTGAATTCACAATCTTCCTGCTTCAGCCTCCCGACATGCTGGGATTACAGGTATGCGCCACCACACCTGGCCAAACACTTCTTTTTAAAAAAATATTTATTTTTTTTAGTTGTAGTTGGACACAATGCCTTTATTTTATTTATTTATATGTGGTACTGTGTATCGAACCCAGGGCCTTGCACATGCTAGGTGAACACTCTACCCCTGAGCCACAACCCCAGCCCCCCAAATATTTCTTCTTCTTTTTTTACATTTTATTCCCTAGTTTTAGATGGATACAATATCTTTATTTTATTTTTATGTGGTGCTGAGGATCAAACCAAGTGCCTCATGCATGCTAGACAAGTATTCTACCACTGAGCCACAACCCCAGCCCCCAAACATTTCTTCTTTAAGCCACTTAGTTTACTTAATTCAGATTTACCATCTACATTTCATTTTTTCTCTTTCTTTGACAAACATGGGTTCAGGAAATAACTCATTTTGATCTCAGTTCTACTATAAGAAAAATATTACTGTAAGCTTGATGATAAATGACAGTTGATACCTAGCCTCAACGTCAAGGAGTGACAAGCCAGGGTAGGAACTGTAGTGAAAAAAATGGAGAGTATATATCTTATTTAACAAGAATGGTCACTACTATGAACAGCTTAGTGTTTCTGAAAAGAAATATTCCAATTTTTGAGGGCACTCAAAGAAGTAAAGATCAGATTCTCTGGTCTAGAAGAATTTTTCAGGAGGATATAAACTGAGAAAAATGAAAGATGGGTTCTAACTGTGGTTCTATGTAATCTCCCCAGAGCTCAGTTTCCACTTCCATAAAATAGGAAAGCTGGAAAAGGTCAACTCTGTTCCCTTCCTGCACTGAAAGCCTGTGATCCTATCTTCCTGGGATTAGGAAGTCAGCTGAGCTAGGTGTGGTAGCACATGCCTGCAATCCCAGGGACTCAAGAGACTGAGGCAGGAGGATCACAAGTTTGAGGCCAGCATCAGCAACTTAGCAAAGTCCTAAGCAACTTAGCAAGACCCTGTATCAAAATTAAAAATAAAGGGCTGGGGATGTGGCTCAAGCGGTAGTACACTCGCCTGGCATGCGTGCGGCCCGGGTTCGATCCTCAGCACCACATACAAACTAAGATGTTGTGTCCGCTGAAAACTAAAAACTAAATATTAAAATTCTCTCTTTTTTAAAAAAAAAAATTTAAAATAAAAATGGCTAGGGGTATAGCTTGGTGGTAAAATACCTTTTAGTTCAATCTCTAGTTAAAAAACAAAAAGTCACTTGATAAGAAGCTCAAGGGTGCCAACTCCAGAAGGTCTTCCTTCATAATTGCTGTTGGTCAGCTGAGAAATGATGCCTCTTTCTCTTCAGTCACTTGGGTGAGAAGCTGGAAGAGGTGCTGGTAATTCAGCATACCTTAGAACAGCAAGGTTTGTCCTTTTTCCTCCTCTTAGTTTAGGTTCTTTTTCTAAGTAATCTTACCTTCACTTATCTCCTCTCTGATGGATTCCCACAGCACTTAGATTAACACAGCCTAAACCTATACAGGTTGGGCTCTCCTGCATTGGACTCTTTAGCCCCATATCTACATCCTTTCTCTCTCTGGAACTGCAGAAGACTAAGACCAAATGTGATACCTCTCTGAATTACTCATGAAATTGGAGGTTAATCAAAACTGTGCAAGTGGGCTGACATAAACCAGAACGGAAAGGTTCAGACCCAGAAAAGTTCAGGAATTGATAAGAGAAGCCCAGCTAAGATTCAGGTTGGATGTGAAAATCATAGCCTCTTGTGGCTATTTCTCAGGGCACAAAGGAAAAAAAATTTTTCATGAAACTATTTTCTTTTAATTTTTTTTAAGTTGTTGATGGACCATTATTTTATTTATTTATATGTGGGTGAGGAGCTGGTGCTGAGCTAGGGTGGGGTTGATAATTCTAGAGAGATGATAAAGCCTGGGGTAGGGGTGGGGTTATAGCTCAGTGATAGARTGCTTGCCTCACATGTGTGAGGTACTGGGTTCAATCCTTAGCACCACATAAACAAATTTTAAAAAGGTATTATGTTCACTTACAACTAAAAATATTTAAAAAAAAAAAAGCCTGCGGAAGAGTAAGATATAAAACTATAAATGGAGCTGTGGCCAGTCTTGTTGTTTTAGCAGGCTGGCCAAAGAAATGAGGCTTAATCTTAGAGAGAAAATAATCAGATACAGAGGGGTAAAAGTGTCATGTGATCAATTTATCAGAACATTGCATTAATCTGCCTTAGGAGGCCTGGCTCAGCAATCTTACCTGACCCACTGACAGAGAAAGGGAGGAAATAATTGCAAACAAAAAACTACACGTACTTAGTACTGTCCCTGTTCTGACACTGGGACAACAAAGCTTACCATTCAATGCAATGTGCCCTAATCAAGTAAGGTGGGGTGCCCTCCCTGCCCAACACACCAGCTCCCTCACTTACGGCAACAGCCAGTCTGAAGCAATGCCAGTGTCTTTCCTCCAGGAGCTGCACATAGGTCAAGAACAATGTCCCCAGGCTGTAGACCAAGAGCCAGGACAGGCAGCAAGGAGGCAGCATCCATCAGGTAGTAGTCCATGACACCCAGACTGCCAAGCCTGGAAGAGAGACCACCTGATTGTCAAATTCCAAATTAGGACACCTAYTGATCCTAATCCATGCCCTCAGGGGCCATTGAGCTCCATTCAGCAAAAAACTAATTTTTCAAACCTATACTCACTCATTTATCTACATCCAAAGCAATTCTTTTAAAACAGATCAATTCACTCTAATATACCCATGAGAGCCACCCTGGTATTCCTTTTTTTTTTTTTTTTTTAAAGAGAGAGTGAGAGAGGAGAGAGAGAGAGAGAGAATTTTTTTTTAATATTCATTTTTTAGTTCTCGGCGGACACAACATCTTTGTTTGTATATGGTGCTGAGGATCGAACCCGGGCCGCACGCATGCCAGGCGAGCGCGCTACCGCTTGAGCCACATCCCCAGCCTCCCACCCTGGTATTCCTTATTTTTTTTTTTTTTTTAAAGAGAGAGTGAGAGAGGAGAGAGAGAGAGAGAATTTTTAATATTTATTTTTTAGTTCTCGGCGGACACAACATCTTTGTTGGTATGTGGTGCTGAGGATCGAACCCGGGCCGCACGCATGCCAGGCGAGCGCGCTACCGCTGAGCCACATCTCCAGCCCCCTGGTATTCCTTAAAAAAGCCATGCGTGCTCCCATCTCAGGCTTGTTTGTTTTTGGACATAACAGGGATTGAACTCAGAGACACTGGAACACTGAGCCACATTTCCAGCCCTATTTTGTATTTTATTTAGAGTCAGGGTCTCACTGAGTTGCTTAGTGCCTTGCTTTTGATGAGGTTGGCTTTGAACTTGTGAWCCACCTGCCTCAGCCTCTGGGATTACAAGCATATGACACTGTATCAAGCCCATCCCAGGCTTTTGGAACTATTGTGCTTTCTGCCTATAAAACTTTTCCTTTAAATATCCCTGATGAGCTTCCTCACTTCTTTCAGGTCTGTCCTCAAAAGATACTCATCAATCCAGGCACTGTGGTGCATACTGGTAGACCCAGGTAACTTACTCAAGAGGCTGAGGCAGGATGATTCCAAGTTCAAGGTCAACCTTGGCAACTCAGTAAAGTCCTGTCCCAAAATAAAACATGATGATGATGTGGTAGAGTGCTTGCCTAGCATACAGAAGGCCCTGGTTTCAACGTCCAGTATCCTTCTACACACACACACACACACACACACACACACACACACACACAGTTACCTCATTAGAGACACTGGCATTCCTTTAATATTCTATCTAAAATAACAGTATTTTATTCCCATCATCATCTTTTTAAAAAATATTTTATTAGGTATTGGTGGACCTTTACTTATTTTTATGTGGTGCTGAGAATCGAACCCAGTGCCTTACACATGCTATGCAAGTGCTCTACCATTGAGCCACGACCCCAGCCCCTCCCATCATCTTCTGTGTCTTTAGTCTGCATTCTTTTTTTTTCTTTTTTAATACCTTTATTTATTTATTTTTACATAGTGTTAAGGATTGAACCCAGTGCCTCATACATGCTAGGCAAGTGTTCTGCCAGCCCTGCATTTTTTTCTTTAAAGTACTTATTTACTTTATATGTGTGTATTTCCTTTCTCTATCTCATCCTGGTAGATAGAACGTGATCTCCATGAAGGCAAGGGATTTTGTCTGCATTGTTCACTGTAATAGCTCTATTACCTCACTTCTCCCAAAGTGTCCTTCATGAATAGAAGCCTCTGGAATGGGTGCCAAGGACCTCATGAAACTTAAGAGACTACATAGTGCTTAAAGCCAAAGCTCAGAACTGACCTCAATTCCTGGCTCAACCTATCCTCCCTTACACAATGACTAAAATGTTCCTGAGCATAATTTTGATGAGAATACCATTAATAGTGAGGTATCATTTATGAATGCTATATCATAGGACACTATGCTAGATGCTTAATATGCATAATTTCATTTAATCCTCACCACGACCCAGTAACACAGGTAAAGCTTGATTCTAAAGTCAGACTGCCTGGATTTCAAACTTGGCCAAGTTGCTCATTAGTTGTATGACTTTCGGCAAATTACTCAACTTCTCTGTACCTTAGTTATTCCTATCTACAATAAAGTACCTGCCAGATAGGGTTATTATGAGAATTAAAGGAAGTAATATAAATTAAGAACTTAGAAGGGGGTACAGTGGCACATGCCTGTAATCCCAGCAACTCAAGAGGCTAAGGCAGGAGGATCTTGGCAACTTTGAAAAAAAAAATTAGAACATTGGCTAGCACCTAATGAGCTAATGAGTTATAGTGTTATCTAGTAATACAGGAAGCCAAGGCTCAGTTATCCAAGATCACAGGTCTAATAAGTGGTGAAGTCAGAATCAAATCTAGGTTTGTCTGACTCCAAAGTCCATGCTTATAATCACCATGCATCACTACCTGCGTTAGTAAGTCAAGGATTTGTCACTATAATCAAAATACCTAACAAGAACAATTAAAGGAGAAGTTTATTTTGGCTCATGATTTTAGAGATTTCATGGTGGGCCAACCTCCACTGCTCTGGGTCATCATAGCAAGGCAGAACATCATAGCCAAAGTGTGTGGTAGAGAAGCACTACTCTGTTAAGGAAGCCAGGAGACAGAGAGAAAGGGCACCATGGGGCAATGAACTCTTCCAAGGATCATCTCCAGTAACCCATTTTCACTTGCCATGCCCCCACCTGCTTATAGTTACCACTCAGTTACACCATTCAAATTAGGATGGACTGATTAGGTTATAGCCCTCATAAATCAATCATTTTACCTCTGAATTTCTGCATTAACACAGGAGCTTTTTGGGGACACCTCACATCCGAACCTATAATTCTACTTTTCATATGCTCAGAACCTTTTTTGGTGGTTCTCTAGAACAAATCTTAGCAATTTACAGCAACATGTGTTAAAGGGAATAAGGCCCAAAGCCATTCAGCTCTGGCAATCCCAACTATTGGCCAGCAACCCTGAGCTATCAGATAAATCCCTTTTCCTTATAATGTAAGCTGTAGACAGTAAAGGTTCTCCCACACACCCCTCCAGATATACTTTTCCAGTCTCACTGTTCACTCTTCTCAAGCATTCAGCCTTTTCTCAAGCCGTAACAAGGACAATTGCTAATTTATCTCTCTATTTCTACCCTTGACCACCTTCAATCTTTCAATGCTGCAGCCAGAGTAATATTTTAAAATTTCAAATCTGGTCATGTCATTCCCCAGGTTAAACTCTTTCAGAGTTTCCTCTTAGAGAAAAAGTCCAGAATTTCACATGGCCTTTAAAATCTTTATAATCTGCCTCCTGCCTGCTTCTATAGCCTCATATTTCACCTCTCACCCCAATGTTCAGGTCTTAGCTTAAATTTTACTTCCTTAGAAAACATTTGGTTAGATCTTCTAATTATAGGACCTAACAGGATTTTGGAGGGCAGTGGGGCAAGTCTAAGAATTTAACCCAATGGTGCTCTACCAGTTGTTTTATTTTGAAAAACAGTCTAAGTTAACCAGACTGGCCTCAAACTTGAAATCCTTCTGCCTCAGGCTTCCAAGTAGCTGTGCCCAGCTCAAACTGTTTGTTTTTGATACTGGGGATTAAACCTAGAGGCACTTTACCACTAGTTACATGCCTAGCCCATTTTTTATTTTTTGAGACAGGATCTTACTAAGTTGCTTAGGGCCTCACTAAACTGCTGAGATTGATCTTGAATTTGCAATCCTCCTGCCTCAGCCTCTCAAGTCACTGAGAATATAGGCATGTCCCACCACACTTGGCATAAAGAGATTTTTTAAAAAAGATTTTAATATTCAATTTTTTTAAAGAGAGAGAGAGATTTTTTTTAATATTTATTTTTTAGTTTTTGGCGGCTACAACATCTTTGTTTGTATGTGGTGCTGAGGATTGAACCCGGGCCGCGCGCACGCCAGGAAAGCACGCTACCGCTTGAGCCACATCCCCAGCCCATAAAGAGATTTTTAATAGTTGTCTTCCTTGCCATACCGGAAGCTCCCTGATGGTTTGTGTACTAGTAACCAAGGCACTTAAATGCCTGGCATTTGGTAGAAAATAAATATTTATTGAATGAATCAATCAATCATTCAAAGATCAATTTCCACATCCTATTACACTGAGCTCTCCTTTTCTCCTTTTCTCAACACAATTCAGCACTTGATTCTGGAGTCTTTTCTCATTCAACTTCATATATATGAGTAATGGATCAAGAGACTGTAAATTTTTTTTCTTTTTCCAGGTCTATCACTAACTTGTGCCCTTAGGCAGAGTCCATTTCTTAGGAAAATCCACTTCCTCTTTGGTATCTAAGATTATTTGTCCTACTTACTTTGAAAGGTGGCTGTGAGGGCAAAATCAGCTGTGAATAACAAGCTTTTTAACTGGACAGGGTGCAGTGAATGCTCAGGTAAGAGGTGGTTGTTTCCTATAGAAGGCAGTGGAGCAGGTTACCTGGGTCTACATACTAACCTTATCAAAGAAGCTAAACCAAGTAAGTAATTTAACTTCTCTGCTCCTCAGTTTCCTCAAATGTAAAAGAGGAGTAATAATTTACCTATTTCATCAAGATGTTGACAGAACAAAACGGAATAACATTATGAATAGCAATTAGCACACCAGAAAATTAGCAATATTATGATCCTTATCACAGAGGGCAGAAGTTGTGGAACCTCTGGTAGGGCAGTCCCAGTCATGGCTCCAGATCCTACCTGGCAGAAGGGAAGCAGCTGACATCTCCTCTGGCAAAAGTGAAGCATCGAAGATTTGGACTGCAGTCTGGGGACAGGGTTGCAGAGTGGCCACTCTCAGGCTCCAATTCCCAGCAGGAGATGGCATCACTCACAAAGTCCCTGGCACTCAGCTGCTCCAGCTTAGCACTCACATGGTCCCAAGCAGCAAAATTATTGACAAGTGCACCATACTTCTGTTCTGAGAGAAGACTGACACGAATCGATGGCCAAAGATCCCCAAACTGCACACTGTAGGTCATGTCAAAATTCTGCAGAGCAAGCTGGCTGGCAGGGAATTTGGGCTCTGTTGCTGCCTAAAAGAGAAAGGGCAGTCTTCCCAGTCTTGCCACTATTCCCTACTGTCTGACCCCACCAGTATCTCAGAGCTCAGGGGCAAACTTTGATCCAGTTAGTATCCACTCCCACCTCTGCATTCTGCCTCTGCCTAACAAAGAAGTATGAGAGAGAAAAATGGTAAGGAATTGGCCTTTCTACCTTAGGTCTATGAAAGGAAGCAAAGGAATCTCTAGCTCTCACCATGTGTCGGTCTTTTTGTTTGTTTCTGGGGATTGAACCCAAGGGTCCTTAACCACTGATCCAAACTTCTACTGGCTCTGTTCAAGAGTCCTCTCTTGAATGACCATTCTCTTAAATTCCTCTTACTCCAGACTGGCCCCCATCTCCACCTGCAGTGGTGGGGATTGAACTCAGGGCATTGAGCATGCTATGCAAGTACTCTAATGTTGAGCTTCACCCCAGCCTAAGACCCACCTGGGTTCAAGCTCCAGTGCCATAAAATAATAAAAATTAAAAAATAAAACTTATGAAGTTATTTTTGGAATTTTCCACTTAAGATCTTCAGACCATGGTTGCCTGTGGTTACCTGAAATTATGGAAAGCAAAACCATGGATTAAGGGGCACTACAGTATTTATTTCTGAAATAAACTATGGTGGTACTGGGAAGGCTTTGGGTTTAAAATCAAGACACTTTTCCTCTAAACAGCCCTTCTACTTTCTAAAGTCTGTTATGTCTACTAGCTTACCTGAATATAACAATAGTAGCCCTATGGAGAATACAAAAAACAAAAAACAACTTTCCACAACTGATGAAGAGATGACAGTAACTTACCAAAGATTATGCAGTGTCTGGAACCATAATGCTCTGAACCATAGTGTTGAGGGTAACTTGGGGAGAGTTCCCAGACTCTAAGAAGGGTGGGATAAGGAGAGTTCACAGAACCTTGATATGTGAATCAAGACAGAGACTTCTAGGATGACTGCTATGGGGACAGCAGTGAGGGACATAAGTCAGATTTGAAGAAAATAAAGGAAGATTAAAAGGCAAATGAAGACTTCAGATGAGGAGTCCACAAATTGGTCCTGGTTGCTGCAGATGGAATACTTGTTATGGCTGGTAGTCAGTCTTGTTACCAGTCTTCTGACTTGGCCCTTACGTTTTGTTAGTGCGGGGACTCTTGCTTCGACCTTTCTTCTGACGGGGACTCTTGTTCCGACCCTGACCTTTCTTCTTGTTTTGGGGACTCTTGCTCTTGCCCTGACTTTTACCATTACGGGGACTCTTGCTTTTTTTCCGACTTCGACCATGGTCGGAACTCTTGCTCTGGTCCTGACTGCTGTCAACCTGGGGACTCTCAGTCTCGTCCTCTACTTTACTTTGACCCCGGCTCTGATTTCTGTTATCTTGCGGACTCTGGCTCCGACTTCTGCTATGGTACGGACTCGAGCTCTGGCTCCCACTCTCACTATGCTTTGGACTCTTGATATTACTTTTTTTTTTGGAGACAGTCCTGTTGTTGCTCTCATTAACATGACTTTCACTGGTAACAATGGATGAACTACAGCTGGGATCATTGCTACAGATAGAGTTCTTGGGTGAAGGCAAAGGACAGCTGTAGGGGATCTGGAGTGGCACTCTGGAGGGGCCTTGAGAGGCCACAGAATAGTTATGAAGGCCACAGGGGATAGTATCAGGATAGGGCCGAGCTCGGGGGATAATGGGTAAAGACTGGGGGTCAAAGGGTGTTCTCAGAGGGATAAAAGAATAGATATGGGTAGAACAAGGAGGCGCCACAGGCTTGCAGTGGAGTACAGGTGGACCCCTGGGAGTGCCATAGGTGCCACAGGGAGGAACTGTAGAGCGATTGAGGGAACCAGGAAGTTGGCAGGGATGGGAGGTGGTGGGAACCACAGAGTATAGGTGGGTATTGCAGGGGGGAACTAAGGGAGGTCGATGGGGATTGCTCTTAGGATAACTATTGGGTATGACAGGATCACAAGGAAGGCAACGGGGAAGGGAAGTAGGGGCAATAGTTTTGACACTTCCAGGGCACATAGCAGGTAAGGCAGTTCCTGGGGGAAGTTCTTTGGGGCAAGAATTTAAAGGAGTTGTGACAGATGGCTCCACACGAGGACCAGAGAAGCAGGAGGGAGGCAGAGGAGAGGTGCCAGCCTCTGAGGGCTTGGGATGGCCAGAAGCGTGCTGGGGAGTGTTAACTAGGGAGTGACATTTGTGGAGAATATGCTGCTGTCTTAAATCTGAGAATTTGGGGGACTTCATTTGTGGGGAAACTGGGGTAGGGAGAGGAGGTTCATTATAGCTTCTGCAGGGGGCTGACTGGAGTGGAGCTATAAACTGGTTGCCCAAGTGGGAAGAATAGCACAGGCCAGAACAGGGACACTGGGGAAGAGACGATTCTGGAGGACAGGGGGGACCAGAAATCACAGTGCCTGGGGTTACAAAGAGGTAAGAGCTCTGGTCAGTCTCCCAGGAGAGAAGGGGATCAAAGCAAGGCTTCCCGGAAACCTGAGACTGAGGAGAACAAGGAGAACCCTTACTCTCAGGAGATAGGTGTATGGCACAGTAAGCGGTCCCAGGGACGGATATGTGGGCCTCTGGGGGAAGATGAAAAGAGCCCTCCTCAGGTGAGTTAGGAGAGCCAGACATGCCTGCCTGAGAAGAAAGTTGGCRGCCACAATTTTTCCCAATGGACTGGTCAAGCTGTGGTTTGGGTTCACAAGAATCTGGAAGCTTAAGGTGGCCCTGATAAAGGCTGCCAGTAGCTGGGGAAGATGCTGGGGAAAGAGGAGGGTCATTATAACTTCTCCCTGAGGACCAGTGAGAAAGGAGAGGGGAAGTCATGGTCCCAATTTCCAAAACCTTATGAGAAATGATTGGAGAAAATATAGGTCTAGTTTCCATGGGCCGGTGAACAAGGGGAGATGAAATTATGAGGCTAGTTCCTGGGGGCCTATGAGTAAGAGGAGGTGAAATTATGGGACAAGTTCCCTGGGAACCCTGAATAAAGGGAGGTGAAATCAAGGGGCCAGTTTCTAAGCAAACATGAGTGAGTTGAGGAGAGGTCACCGGGCTGGTTCCTGGGGCCTGATGAGTGACAGGAGAGGTCACCTGACCGCAGCAACAGTGGTAAGGTTGCTGCTCAAAGTAAGGACTTGGAGGACAAGGATGCTGCTTTCTTGGGGAATTGATCCAGCTGCAAACCGTGCTCCGCTGACGGACAGAGGGTGACTCCGGAAAGCCGAACCGGTCAAAACATGGGTTTGTAGGAGATGAACTAGAGTGTCTGGGCCCGTGGCAGTACGGCCTTCCAACGTGTGGGGAAGAACAGGGTTCAAAAGAACATCTCTCCTGTGGGGGTGGGGAGGGAGGTGGTGGGGGCGGGGAAGAGATCCGAGGAGGTAAGCTGGGGGACATGCCGGTGAAGCAAGAGCAAGGGTCTTTGGGGGGAGGGGGGTTTTTGCACCTTTTGCCTGCATTTGGGGAAGGACCCACAGTTTGGTTATGGTGGTCGCTGTAACCTGTTTTGGACGCCTGAGGCAGCTCGAGGGTGAGGAGGGGGCTCAATCTTTTCCCGCAGGGCAACGGACACCCAGGAGGGGGAGGGAAATCGTTAGTACGTTTTTCGAAGGGTGAGGTCAACCCGGTTGAAAGTTCAAGAAGGAAAGGAGAATTAGAAGTCATGGGGGGAGGGGGGAGAAAAAAGGGAGGAAAGGGTGAGGGATGGGGGAGAGGAAGGGAAGAGGAAGGGAAGAGGAGGGGGTAGTGAGGGCCAAGGGAAAGGTAAGCACAGGAGAGAAAAGATGGTGACATAACGGAAAGAATGAGGGCGGAGATGATGACGTAACTTAGAGAGGCGGAGTCGGGACACTACTACGTTAACAGGAAAAAGAGTCGAAGATTTGTGACGAATAAAAGGCAGACAGGGCGAGTGACGTAACAGACGTGAGGCGGTGACGCTCCCTGAAGGGCGGAGAGAAAGCGGCCGAGGGGTTCTAATGGGACTAACATATCGAATTCACCTGAGGCGTCTGAGAAATGCAGAAGCTGAAAAGCTTCCCCGCTGAGACCCCGCCCAGACCTTACCCACTTCTTCTTATGTCGGAGTCTTCGCGGGACCGGCGCGAAGTTCGCATGCTTCAGCAGCTCCCGGACGCCCCTCAGTATTGGCGCAGCCATATCAGCGTGCGTCGCCTTGTAAATCCGACCGGAACTGCAGCTACCGTTCCTTGGGTTCCGGGGAAATGATGTACGCTACTTTGACCGGTAGGAGAAGGAAAGGGGGAGGGAATTGACTCTCTCCCAGGGCTCCGCCCACCTCTAAATGGCAAGTCAAATCGCGCTAGGCCAGAGGCGTACTAGAAAAGAGCAACTTGGCACTCGTAATGTTGGCTCCGCCTAGATCCTTGGAGCAGTGCTAAAGACTCCGAAAAGGCTCTTAACCCATTTAGAGGATTAGAGAGAACCGGGAGTTGGTGATTGAGTTTTGAAGTTAGGAGGAAAAAAAGGCGCAGGAAGGAATTGGGCGCTGTGGCGACGCCAGTAATCGCAGCGACTTGGGAGCCTGAGACAGGAGGAGCGCAAATTTGAGGCAAGCCCAGCAATTTATCAAGGCCCTACGCAATTCAGCGCGACCTGTCTCAAAATAAAATAAAGGACTGGGCATATAGCTCAGTAATTAAGTGCTCCTGAGTTCAATCCGCTATACCAATAAATAAAGGGCCGTGGTTGTGGCTCTGTGTTAGTATGCCTAGGATGACGGAAGCCCTGAGTTCATATCCCCAGTAGCAGAAGAAAAAAGACTGGGGATGTAACTTAGTGGTAGAGAGCTTGCCTAGCGTTCGTGAGACACTGACTAGGTTGATCTCTAATACAGCCAAAATAATATTTGATGGGGTATGGTGGCACACATCTGTAGTCCCAGCAACTTGGGAGGCTGAGGCCAGAAGATCGCTTAAACCCATACAATTTCTAGACCAGATTCATCTTTAAAAAAATCATATATGTTAATATCACTAATGATCACAAAAATGATTAAATGTTAGGAAGTTTTTAAAAATATTTATTTTTTTAGTATTTAGGTGGGTACAATATCTTTATTTTTTGTTTTTATGTGGTGTTGGGAATCGAACCCAGCGCCCCGCGCATGCCAGGCKAGCGCGCTACCTCTTGAGCCACATCCCCAGCCCCTTCTTAGTGTAGTTTTGAAATTAGTTCAGGACATATTATTTTCATATATTAAATTCTCACATCTGAGTTTATGAAGGATATTTGTCTGCAGTTTTTTCTCCTAGTAATATCTTTGATTTTGTCATCACAGTAATGTCAGCTTTATAAAATGAATTTAGGAAGTGTCCCAACTTCAGAAAGAATTTGCATATGATTGGCATTATTTCTTCCTTAAAAGATGGATAGAATTCAGTAGTAGAGCCATCTGGGCCTGAAGTTAGATGTTTGCTTTTTTGTTATTATTTTTGTTGTTTTTCTTTAGGGGGACGATGAGATATGAAGAAATGGAAATTTTTTWAATTATTTAGTTTCTTCAGTTGATACAGGGCAGTGGTTCTCAAACTGAAGTGATTTTGACTTTCCCTCAGAGAACATATGATCATACCTGATGACATTTTGGGTTGTTAAAACTCGTGCTTCTGGCATCTAGCATCTAACAACACTGCTAAACACTCTACAACACACCAGACAGCCCTGCCCACAACAAAGAATAATCCAACCCACATTGTCAAATGTGCTTAGGTTGAGAATAGTGCTTTTTAAAGTTTTGATTCTTGCTGGGCAGGGTGGTACACGCCTATAATCCCAGCAGCTCAGGAGGGTGAGGTAGGAGGATTGAAAGTTCAAAGCCAGCCTCAGCAATTTAACAAGGCCTTAAGTAATTTAAGAGACCCTGTCTCAAAATAAAACATTAAAAGGCCCGGAGATGTGGCCCAGTGGTTAAGCACCCCTGGGTTCAGTCCCTGATACCAAAATAAATAAATAACTCTTTGTGGGGAGGGGGGATGGGGTGGGGGCAGTGTAGGGGGTGGGCAGGTAGTAGGGATTGAACCCAGGGGCTCTTTACTATTGAGCTATATCCCTAACCCCCCTTTTTTTTTTAAAGACCAGGGTCTCATTCTTGGGGACTTGCTTGCTAAATTGCTGAATCTGGCCTTGAACTTGCTATCTTCAGTTTCCCAAACCACTGGGATTACAGGTAGGCAATACCACACCCAGCAAAATATTCTTATTATTCTTGCACCAGTTTTGACATTTTGAATTGAGTGTGTGTGCTGCTGGAGATCAAACTCAGAGCCTTGCACATTCCAGACAAGTGCTCTACCACTAGGCTATACCTCCAGCCCATGACCTGCAATTTAAAACATGACAGGTGCAGTGGCACATGCTTGTAATCCCAGGATGAGGCAGAAGGACCCCAAGTTCAAGGTCAGCCTTGGCAATTTACTGAGATCATGTCTCAAAATTTAAAAAATATTTTAAAAGGGCCTAGTGATGGCCAAGAGTAGTGCACAGGCCTGTAATCCCAGCAGCTCAGGAGGCTGAGACAGGAGGATCACGAGTATGAAGCCAGCCTCAGCATAAGTGAGGTGCTAAGCAACTCAGACCATCTTTAAATAAAACAAAATAGGACTGGGGATGTGGCTCAGTGGTTGAGTGCCTGAGTTCAAGCTCTGTACTGCCCCCGCCAAAAAAAGGGATAGTGATCTATATCACACCCCTAGGTTCAATCTCCAGTGTCACAAAATAATAAAAATAAAAAAGTAAAACTTATGAATTTATTTCTGGAATTTCCATTTAAGATCTACAGACCATGGTTGACTGTGGTTACCTGAAATTATAGAAAGCAAAACTGTGGATAAGGGAGAACTACTGTACTTATTTCCAGAGACTGTATGGCCCACAAAGCCAACTTATTTGCTTTCTGGAGAAAAATATCACTGACTTCTAAGTTTATATAGGATATCATTACTGATATTGATAACTAGTGTATTATTCTTCCCCCCCCTTTTTTTTTTTTTTTGCTACCAGGGATTGAACCCAGGGGCACTGAGTCACATCTTCAGTCATTTTTATTTCTTTTCTTCTTCTTTTTTT